GTCCGGGTGTAGGCATGGGTGGCTGGCTTCAGTGACAAATCTCAGGTGTGGAGCCATACCCTGAGTTTGAGTTTGGTGACTGCCTGGTGAGATCACCCAGTCCTCTGGACTTGATGTCCTTCTTTGTAAGAGGGGGGTAGATTTAGTATTGCTCCATGAGATGGCAGTGAGACTACACTGACCAGGTGTACACTATTTTAAAGTCTAGGGCTATGGTCACTCTGACTGACACAGTGACAGCCTCTTCTGAGATCTGGATGCCTCGACTCCCAAGATCTCCAGCCAGCAGCAGACTTAGGATACTGATGCTGCTGGCCTCAGGCTCCTAACCCACAGGCCCCCAGTTCACTTGGTTTTCTGGGAAAACTGCCTCTCTTCCTCAAGGCAAAGTCAGAGTGAAGTCGAATGTGTGGGGGATGGGCCACCAAATATGGCTTCCAAGGGTGAGCAGGAGGGTGCTGGTGGCTGCTGGTGTGGAGCTGGCGCTCTTAGCTGAGCTGCAGCAGGAGGATAAGCACTGTCTTGGGACTTCCTGAGCCAAATCCTGGGAGGACCTTTACCCAGCCAGCCACTGAATGGTCCTTCCTGTGATCTGCTGATGTGATCAGATGGTGTGTCCTGCTCTGGTTAGGGTCACTAGGGTTCAGGGAGGGTATATGGCCTTTCACTTTCCTGGGGTCCCTCTCTCTCTCTAAAGGGCATGCAGACCTGCCAACAGTTAGATTACCAGCCCAAGACAACCCCAAAGTACCCCTTTCCTTTTGTCTCCAGGGTTGAAATCTGAGACCAGTTAAATACCACACAATGTTGAGCAAAGCTGGCTCCCTCTCTGGGCCTCTACTTTCTCATCCATACCATAAGGAGGTTGTAGAGGCCAGGGACAGCGATTGTCCACTGAAATAGCAAAGAAGTCCAGAAGTTTTCCCAGGTGAATGAAGAAATTAGCCGTTAGGTCCTCTTTGCAGCCAAATAAGGTGGCTGCTAGTGCTTTGCTCCATCTCACCATACCAGTGAGGATCCTGGAGAAATACCTGAGGGTGTCATACAAAGTCCCAAAGATCTTGGCTTGAGCTCCGGTTCTGCCAGTTACTAGCTTTGTGCTGAGTGGTGGGAAAAACTCTTTAAGGCTCAATGTCCTCATCTGTGTTCTGGGGACCTAAAGGTCCCTAGGGTACTCAGGACAAAAATAGGGTAGAAAGGCTTGCCCAAACCCAACCCACAAAGCACAGTGTGCTCCCAGCCCATGGCTCTGTGTAGCAGCCAAACAGAAGCATGCAGTGAGTTTTCTAAATGCTCTTTTCATTTTTTTTCATAATGCTGGGGATCAAAGCCAGGGCCTCGCACATGCTAGGCAAGCACTCTACTACTGAGCTACAGCCCTTGCCAAATGTTCTTCTTAAAAATAGGTGGTTTAAAAAGCTCCTTGAGCTGGGTGTGGTAATGCAAGCATTCTGGTAACCTGGGCAACTTAGCTACTTAGTGAGACCCTGTCTCAAAATAAAAAAGGGCTTGATGATGTAGCTTTGAATTTAATCCCCAGTACTAGAGAGAGAGAAAAAAAAAAAAGCTCTCTAGTTGACTACTACTGCACAGCCAGGCTGCAACCTGCAATCCACTTGCCAGTGTGTGGTTTCACCAGTGTGGTCCTGTGGCAGTGCCGTCACTCAGGGTCTTCGTAGAAATGCAGTGTCCAAGAGCCCTACCACACCTGCTGCACCAGAGTCCGAATGTTAACAAGGTGATCTGGTGCACTTGTAGTTTCTGTACAGTTTGGGGGCACCGGCTTGGACACTGAATTCCAGACAGCAGTGGGTATCCAGCAAAGGACAGACATGGCCATTTAAGATGTATTTGTTTGCATGTATCTCTTTAACTTGAGTCTACATAAGGGCAGAAGGAGGCAGGGAGAATAAGCAGCCATGTCTTCCAAGCAGGCCAGTGGCCAGAAAGGATGTTTCTCAATGAAACAAGTGAGGACACTTCCCATCCCCTTGGTGGGGCCGGTGGGTCTTACAGTGGTGACCAGACTGTGCTTTAGTCAGGGCAACTGCTGGAACTTTCTTAGAGTTTAGAACTTGAGCAGAGATAAGGAGGAAAAAAAGGAGAAAGGCGAAATGGACAAATAACAACTGGAAAGTGTCCCAGAGCTCTGGATGACCACCACCATGCTAAGCGTGTCGCCAGGCCTGGAGTATCTGGTGGCACTGTTGTTTAGACTAGATGTTCTGTCTTAGTTAGTTTTTTGCTTCCGGGACAAAATTCCTGACAGCTACATGGTAAAAGAGGAAAGGACACACACGCACACATACACAATGTATAAGATAATTGTACTACTAATTTCTGTTAGTTCATTGAGAGTTAGTGCTTATATTGTTTGATCAATTCTGTATGCCTATATCTGGTAATCTGACCCACTGCTTTGAATATAGCAATATGTAATATTAACAGCCATTGTTGATTTCCTACTACCTTGTTTTGAAATTCTGTATCAGTTTTATTTATTTATTTTTTTTCATTTTTGTATTTAGTATAGGGTCTCACTACACAGGTCAGGCTTATCAGGTTTTCAGCTTCCCCAGCGCTGGGATTACAGGTATGTGCCACTATGCCCAGACGTGGTCACCTCCTCAGTGTGTCCTGGGGGAGGGGCTGGTGCAGCATGGGGGACGGGGATCGAACCCTGGTCCCTGCACTTGCTGAAGCGGGTGCTTAGTCCGCTGAGCTATCTCATTGGCCCATTTTTATTCTCTTTAAAATAAAAAAAGTAGGGGCCAGGGTGATAGCTCAGTGGAATAAGTGCTTGCCTGGTACCTCCTGGTACCACCCAAAAATTAAAAAAAAAAAAATAACAGAGGAAAGGTTTATATTAGTTCATAGTGTGCAGATGTTTTAGCCCACAGTTGTCTGACATTAAGGCAGAGCAGTGTGGCAGAGGCAGGGCAGAGGCAAAGCAGTTCGTGGCATGAAAAATAGGAGGGTGCTAGCAGTGAGCCTCTTTTCCCTTCTTATCCCATCCAGGCTACAAGCCTATTGGTTGGTGCCCCCCATGCCCAGTGTGGACCTTCCATTATTCACACTCAGAACTATGCTAAACCAGTCAGACTAATCCAGCCATCACACTCATAATCTAATAAATATCACACAACTGTGATCTCACCACCTCCCAAAAGCCCCACCTATGAGTACATGAGGCTTCAGAGGGGACACCTACACACAAGCTGTAAGACTTCTCCAGTCAAGATGTCCTCAGCTTTTGAGGGATGCATAGTTCAGTCTTGGACAAGGACAGGAGATCATGCAACCCCAGTTGATGTGATGGTACAACCCGAAGGCCCAAGGACATCCTGGCATCATGTAAGCCATGCATATATGGCTTGCAATGGCTGCCTGCAGGGTCATGAGTGGACGAATGCAGGAGAACTGTCTGAGTACTAACAATCCAGTCAAAGGTGGAAGACTTGGAGCTCAGAGTACAGTCCTGTTGGTAACTGAAGTATTGGCATTATAAGGCTGAAGAATCTGAGCTACATGCCTATTGGCTGGTGTGATTTACGCCTAGAGTGAACTAATCCAGCCATCACACCCATGATCTAATAAATCTTCCGTAAATCTACTCGGCCACACCCAGCACTGTGCTAATCCATTTGGTTGGGTGTTTCTTACTCAATTTGACACAACAATTAATTGTGACACTTCCCCACGGCCAGGCTGATAGATGGCGACGCTGTTCAGAATGAGGTCTTCCATGACCCTGGCCCAATAAAGGTGTGCCACTGCACCATGCGGGTGCTTGCCACTTAGCAGGAGGACTTTTTCCTCATGTTTGGCAGGAGGCTGGTGAAAATGTGGAGGAAGGCAAAGGTCAGGGTCAACTCATCTTTGTGGGCCACTAGCACACTGGGATATCCAAGTTCCTAGCCAGGTGGAAGCAGCTCCCAAAACCATTCACCTTCCTGGGTCCCTTGGAGAAGGACAGGATCTCTGGACTCGCCGGTGGGTCAGGCTGCCCTCCAGTGGTCCTCAGTCACAACTGCACCCCGCTGGTCTGGCTCTTTACAATGAGGTGGAAGGCTCTCTGAGCTCTGCTTGTTCTGCCCCTAGACAGGTGACCGAGTTCTGCTCCCACTTGGAACAACTCTCCATCCCAAATGATATCAACTCTCAGAAGGGAAGGGAATTAGCGTTCATCCATTGCTGACATCTTTGGTCCTTGGCGCACCCTGCTTGGTTCCCTGACTTTAACCATAGTCCATCCATAGTCCGTGTGTGTGTGCGCGCGCATGCGTGCGCACGTGTGTGTGACTGACCTATGCACAGAAACAGTTCCTCTTTTTTTTTGCAGGACCGGGGATTGAACTCAGGCCCTTGCGCTTGCCAGGGATGAGCTTATTCCACTGAGCCATCTCCCCGGCCCCAGTTCGTTCTTCTGATACATGTAGCAACACTCCCTTCTGTCTGCAACTTCCAGATTATTCTAATGTGTCACATACCTGTACAAATCCTTCAGGCCAGGCTGCAAAAGGAGGAGGCAGATGGCAGATATCAAGACAAGGGAGCGATGTGGAGCTGCAGCAGCCTGCAGGTGTGTGCCCCATCAAAGGCACTGCCACATGGCCCAGTGATGACCTTGGAGTGGGAGGGCTGGACTAGCACTTGGGAGAAGCCAGAGTCTGGCTGTCTGAGGAGAGGTCACAATTTTATATAATTAACTCATAAATAAGTTAAGGGCACTCAAATTAAACAAAAACTGTCTCCATCATTTTGAGCTTCAGCAGCACTTTTCTTTGCAGGTAAAGTCTAGAGAGGAGATAAGTTGCCTATAATCACGTGACCACTCAAGACAGAGCATGAGCTTGAACTTGTGTCCCGACTCCCAGGCCCGCGCTGCTCTCAGCACACCTGCCATCGGTCCTGCTCACCAGGCTGGGCGCAGAGGGCGAGCCACATCCCGGCTCAGCAGGGTATCAGGGAGCATCAGACTCAAGATGGAGGCTGGAAAACATCCATATTTATTGATCAGACTGCCTGGAGTGCAGCGGGGCCTTCTGCGTTCCCTCTTGGAAGAGCACAAGGACACTGTAAACATGCGGAGCCCTGGATCCCCACTGAGGTAGTAGATGGACCCAACAGCTTTGCGTAATCACCGTTGACTTAGGAACATGAACCTGTCCCTTACATAAGACAGAATGGACTCCATCTTTCTCAGGGTCAGGCTGGCTCTACCTGAGCCTGAGACCAAAAGTCCTGGAATCTAGCAATGAACAGGAAATTACTCAGTGTACACATGGGGAAACTGAAGTTTGAGAGAGGTGGAGACTTCATGGCTGAGTTTCCAGCATGGCCCCAGACATGGGCCAGACAGTACTTAGACATTCTCCCCCTCTCAGTTCAGGGTAGAAAACGCTCCCTGGATCAGCTGCTCTGGAAATTCATCTATAAATACATATTTTCTTTAAAAATAGTAATAAATTAGCTTTCAAGCTTGCCTGAGGTCATCTGGCAAGCCACATACCATGTGACACGGACACTTGTGTCATATGTAGATGAACAATCATGTGGCCTGCCACGTGTAGTGCTAAAATTCATGCCACTCGCCATGTGTCACACTGCAGTTCCATGTAATGACACAGGTCGAGAGGTCAGACACTCTGCCACGGATGACCTTCGATGTTGCACACTGTATCATGGCACTATCACCATGCCACACATTTTCACGGGCCACACGTGGCATGCATGATGCAGGGTACCCCTTTTTCCATACCAAGTGCTCAGTCCCCAAAATGGTCCTCCCTGGACCACAGCAGGATGGACATGACTCCCGCTTTCTGAGGCAGGTGCAGAGAACCAGCTGAGGATCTTTTCCTGAGCCCTGTCTCCTGCTTGGCATCACTTGGCTGGGTTCCCAGGGTCCTGAGGAGGCCATCAATTACCCCAAGAGGCCTGGGGCTGGTTGTCAAAGAAGGTGAAGTCCAGCCTGGGCTCCTGGCTCTGCAGATGCTTGGCCATGGCAGGGGGGACATGGTTGTTCCAGAGGCTGTGGGTACAGAGACAGGGTCAGGTTCAGGAGCTCCTCACTCTCCCTCTTATCTCTGCCCCTGTCCTAACTACAGACAGGGAGACAGGGTCCCCAAAGGGAAAGGGCCAAACCCAGAGTGGCCTGACAGAGGCAGGTAACCAGCACAGTGCCCTAGAGACGTAGCATCCCCTACAGCCACCTTCTGACCCCCAACTGCCTTTTTTCCTGGGAGCCAGGGGTCCTGACCCCACCATGCTCAAAGGACACATTTGTACAAATAAGGAAAATGTTCCTTCTCTTCAAGGTTCTTCCCTTCCATTCTCTGAAGTCATCCTAACAGACTGTTTTTTTTTTTTTTTTTGTGGAACCGGGGATTGAACTCAGATCCTTGCGTTTGCCAGTCAAGCGCTTATCCTACTGAGCCATCTCCCCGGCCCCAACAGACTGGTTTTGATAGAATAAGATGCTCACCGGGGATTGAACTCAGGGTTTGCCAGTCAAGCGCTTATCCTACTGAGCCATCTCCCCGGCCCCAACAGACTGGTTTTGATAGAATAAGATGCTCTACTATCATCTACTAGAAATCTAACGTGTCCTTGATATGAAAGATGTCCCTTAGATGCACTGTCCCTGTTTACTGTACAACCTATGCAACTGCAGGAAGTACTCCAAATATAGCGGCCACTTTAAGTGCTTTTTATTTGCTGATGCAATGTCTTTTTTTTTTTTTTTTTAATGCAGTGGCTTTTATGTGCTTACAAAAACTCTGAGATGCTACCATTATCCCCATTTTATAGATGAGGAGATTGAGTTCCAGAGAGGTTGTGTTACTGATGCAGTTAGCACAGTTAGCAAATAGCAGAGCTGGGACTTGTGCCAGGTCTGCTTGCTGCCAAATTCTTGGTGGAGTGGTCCAGGCATCAAGCCAAGGCTGTCTCTTCCTACAGGGAGTCCCCTTAGACTGTGGGGCGTGGTATGGCCTCTTATCCATCCCCCTGCCCCTCCAAGTCCCTGTTACCGGATGACAGGGACACTTGACCCCTGGGCCAGCCCTTTAGCCAGGAGCCAGGCTCCTGCAGCTGTGATCCGATTCTTCTCCAGGCTTCTCAGTGGATGTCAAAGGAAGAAGAGAGGGAGACAGGGATGCATGAGACCAGGAGAGGGACTTCCCTACATCACTTCCCTAGGCCAAGAGGGGCCACAAGAGGGAATACACCCTCCCCACACTCCTGACATCCAGTTTGCAGCTGGAAGGCTAAGGGCTAGCGCCCAGAAGAACTAAGCTCAGCAGAGGCGTGGACCGACTCCAGGAGGGCTTTCTGGGAGTTTGAGGCAGGCCCAGTGGTCTCTGAACTTCCCCCAGAGCGCAGGCACCCCTTCAGCCCACTCTGCCCCGGGGTGTCCCCTCATACTCCACTCTCTTCAGCTGCCTCATCCGGGGCAGAACCTGGGCCAGCTCGGCAGCTGCTTCATCTCCGAGGAGATTCCAGGACAGCCTGCAAGGCAGGAGGCCACAGTCAGCAAAAGGGGCTGGGAGCAGTGAGGCCCAAGGACAGCCAGGCAGCCAGTGTGGAGGTCTGGGAGCCCTGAGGCCAGCAAGGCACAAGCAAGGCCACCTTCCAGGACGCTCAAGCCCCTTCCCCTGAAGGCTTCATGCACAGGTGCCCCGCCCCTAGGGAGCTCTGTTGGCTAGAGTGCAGGAACCATGGCTGCGGCTGCGCGGCTGTGATGCAGACTTCCACCACACGCGAGCTTTGTCACCATTTTGCCACATCTGTGCACTTCCCATATTACTACGTGTGTCATATGTTTCTTTATAACTCTCTGCCCTTTTCACGTTAAGAGTCTAATCCTTGCCTCTAATTTCAGCACTAAGGGAGTCTGAGGCAGAAGGATCACAAGTTCAACCCCAGCCTGGGAAACTTAATGATTTAGTGAGACCTTGTCTTAAAATAAAAAGGGTGAGGGATGCAGCTAAGTGCAAAGGCCTTGAGTTCAATCCCCAGTGTTGGAAGGGAGAAAAGGAAGGAGAGAAAGAAGGAAGAAAGAAAAGAAGGAAAGAAAGAAGGAAGGAAGGAAGGAAGGAAGGAAGGAAAAAAGAAAGAGAGAGAAGAAAAGAAAGGAAGGAAACAAAGAAAATGGAACTAATCTTGAGCTCTTTATCCCTACTATCAATGCAAACCCTGTGTGACGGACCTACACACAAGGCAGTTGCCAGGAATGAATTCAGTGTGAACAGTGGCACTAACTTAGCCAGTGCCTGTGTCTCTCCTAAAATGCTAAGTTTGTGCTCTGCTCCTGTTAATCACTGCGGGTCACCAGCATGGATGAGGAAGATGAGCCAGCCCTGATTTGAGACTTCATCTTTGGCTAGAAGCAGGACCTTTAAAGCCCACTTGCAATCACTTGCACCCTGCACATGTAGAGGTATCGTTTTCTTCCACACCATGGTTAGTGTGCCAGCCTAGTCCTGGCAGTCTGGTTCATCCATGAGGCAGTTCCACAGGCCAAGTGTGATTGCCAAGGAGGAGCTGGGCATAGCCAGTGTGGCTGGTCTGTGGTCAGAGGTGTCCACCAACTCTGGTCACTCTTCACCACCAGCAGTGGTTCACTAAGAGGAGGCTCCATAAACCAGGCATGTTGGCGTGCAAAGGGAGGGTCGGGGCCAAGAAGCCCTAGAGACCATCTGGGCCACCTGCTCCCCTCTCCCCCACAGGTGGAAACAGACAGGAGAGGAGGGATGCTTTGCCCAATGTTGCAGGAACTTGTGGGGCAAACTTTCTTCAGAGGAAGCTTGAGCAAGAATGACCTTCCCCATCTACAGATAAGAGGTCTAGCCAGAGAGGAAGGGACAGCTCTGGGCCATGTGGAGGGAGACTGCCACCCCCAGACACCTGGTATCCCCAGCTCTGGCTCCTTGAAGCACTTACAAGATTTCCTCCAGGGCTGGGCAGAGCACAAAGCTGACAGCAAGGCTTTTGGCAGTCTGGTTGTCAATTTTGCAGGAACCCAGGCTGGGAGTGGGAGGGAATGGAATGAGAGGCTGTGAGAACCAGGGGGCACCTTTAGTAGGACCCCTTCTCCCTCAGTGAAGGCAGAAGGAGCAGAGCAGTCAGGCCTGGTGCAGGGGCCCCAGGAAACTGTGCATGTCTTACCCTAGTATTCTCCTACCCCCTTGCTCAAGCGGTGGTCACTTCAAAGGCCCACTCAGGGGTCAGGGAGAAGCGCTGCTCCCACTACTGCAGAGCCCCAAGAAAGCTACTTACTCCATCCGTCTGAGCAGCGGAAGCCCCTTGCAGAAGTGTGGGACCCCTCTGGCTAGCTTATTCTCTGCCAAGCTGTGGAACAGGGCAGATCTGTGAGGCGAGCCTTCAGACTTTCTCTGTCCTACCCCTCTCCCCAGGCGAGGCACCCGCTGCTCACCTGATATCTTCCACATGTGGGCATCCATCCAGGGCCTGACCCAGGCTTAGTGCCCCCTCCGGGCCCAGATGGCTAGACTGCAGGCTGGGGGGAGGGGAAGGTCTGAGAGAAGTCCAGGACCAGCTGTGTGCCAGCCTAGCCTCCGGCTGCAGTAGCAGCCTTAGCTGGTCTCTAGTAATGCCACCCAGAGTCCTGGCTTTGGGTCTGAGCTCCCAAGTTCAAGGCTGGCTTGTTAGTGTCTTTGGAAGCTTTACCTTCCACCCTTCACCAGGAAGTCACTCCCTTCTTGGCAAATGGAGCCCATAAAAACCCCAATCCACAGGCTGCAAGAGGCTCAGGTGAGGCTGTGGACCTGAACTGGACACGCAGAGGCCGTGCTGCCCAGCACTGTGCCCCAACGTGGCTCTTTCTTTGCTTATTCTCCCTCAGACTGACCCACAGGGCAGGCTGTGCTGAGCTGGGATTGTTGTCCTGCTTTTGCACAAGAGGAAACAGGATCAGAAAGGGCAGGGGTTTGGCTAAGGGCTCACAGGGTGCCAGTGGCAGGGCCAGGCTAGACAGGCTGTCCTGATTTCCCTGTGTGGACATCAGACACAGGGGAAGAGCAGACAGGAAAGAACTCCTGCCACAGTTTGGGCTCAGGCAGGACTGTGCAGGGTTCTTGAGGACCCTGATTCCAACTGATCCTGAGCTTCCCCCACCAAACTTCGCATGTGGCTCAGGCAAGGGGACACTCACTGTAGGACTTTTAGATGCTCAGGCAGCCCCTGAGCCAGTCTCAGTGCTGTGTGATCCTCCAAGGCATTGTGACCAATCCTGAAGGAGGAAGAGAGGACAGGAGGAGAATGTGGAGGTCAGGTGACTTGTTCTGGGATCGGGGAGAAGAGGGCTGGGGGCCTGCAGGGACCCCCACCTAGACAGACACTTACCTCATGTCCTCTAGGTACCTGCAAAGAGTGAGAGACTCTGCCAGCTTCAGTCCACCAGCCGTGCTGATGCCATTTGCTGAGAGGCTGTGGGAAGGGTGGTCACCAGACCTTCTGATTCTCTGCCGACCCCCTCATCTGCAGGGGCCCAAGGGGCAAGCCCCTTCCTCACCCACCTTCCCAGCATAGCAGAAAAGAAAGACTCAGGGCCAGGGGCCAGGTAAGTTAAGATACCACAGCCAGAACCAGGAGGTCATAGGTCCCGCTGTCTGGACACAGAGGTCGGCGGAGGAAGGCTTGCCATGTAGGCCTGAACCAGAGCCAGTGTCTCCCGGGAGCACCATCTGGCCACTGTGGACTGCTCCCAGAAACCTGGCCACTCACTCTATTTTCCTGAGCCTGGGCAGCCTCGGCAGGATAGCAGCTAAGTGCTGGGCACCGGCATCTCCAATCTGGTTGTGACTGAGGCTTGGAGAAAGAAGGGCAAGAGAATCAGAACCATTACTCTGTCACTACCTACCTGTGTTCACACCCAGCCCTGGGACACAGGAGGGGGTTGATGGCTAGAGAAAGAGCTCGGGTTGGGGGCAGAACTCTGTGTTGGGTGAAGGCTCCCAACTTCTGTCTTCTGTTAGGACACTCTTCTTGCTACCTGACCTAAGTCCGTCTTGCTGCAATGGACTTTCTCACATTCTCCCACTGGGTCTCAGAGGTCATCAGCCTGGGCTTGGTTGGGCAATGTGGAAGTGAGTGAAAGCAATGAGTTAAACAGCGAAGTGCCCACTTGAGTGGACACCTGCTTCCATCATCTTGCCTGCCAAAGTTGTCATGGAGATGGGAGAAGGACAGCTATTTCACGCCAGTCCCAACAAGCTGGGGGCAGCTCTGAGAGCCTCAGGAAGTTGGCAGCAACTAATGTCACCAAAAGTTGTTCCTGTTCAGTCTGGAGAAGCCCTGGGTCAAGCTTAAAAGCCTTTGTAGGTACTAAGCTCAAAATTCTAGTTTGTAAAACGTGTAGATTCATGTACTGCTCATTTGACTTCTGAGGCCAGTGAGCGGAGGGGAATCACTATCTCCACTGTCCAGTTAAAAATAAATGAGGCCCAGAAGTGATCTGTGACTGGCTGAAGACTCAGTGACTTGCAGGTAAAGAGGCTGTGGATCCCAGAGTCCCTGGCCAGGGAATGTTCTCTACATTTTTTGGCATTTCCAGGTTTTGCTGTGACCTCTGAGCCTGGGGTTAAGGTAGGGTGGGTATGTGGAGTTTGAAGACAAATTTTATGTGGGCTCTGAGATGAGGCCAGGGAGCTTTCCAGGGCTTGGGAGCTGTCATCTCTGAAGATGCCAGGCTTCTCCTGACCTACCCAAGTGGCTCTTGGACACCCTAAACTTTCCCTGTCCCCAGGCATGGGAAGAAAGAATCCAAGCAAAATGGCCAAATGACTGGCTCAGTCCTTAGTAAGGACTTGTTGGCAGATTGTTACTTCATATTTTCTTTTGCAAATTAAATTCTAGTTAACTGTCTTCTAGAGAATGACTTTTGAGTGAAATGACTGGTCCCATATGCCACACTCTCTGAAACTCTAACCTCAACGTCCCACTCTTGCTAAACTGCTGGAGACTGGGAGTAGACTCAGATAAAACCAGAGCAAAGCTTTGTGTCATGGCTTGGGTTTCAGTTATGGCATTTCATACTAAAAATAACAATAGCAACAACAACAAGAAAATATGTGTGCGGGTGTAGTTTTGCAATTCTAGCTCTTTGAGGGGCTGAGGTAGGAGGATTACAAGTTTAAGGCTAGCCTGGTCTATTTAATGATGCCTTATCTCAAAACAAAATTTGACACCTATAATATTCAAATAACGGAACTAAATAAAAAAGGGGATACAGATGAATGTCCATTTGGTATCTATGTATTCAAAATGGTTTAGATATATAGTTACATTCTCTTAATGAATAGAGGGATTTGTTCTAATAATGTTTGTAAACAGGATATCATGTCTGCATCTTGTACAGCAAATAACCACTAGGAAGAGAGTATGCCATGTGTTAATTATTGAAACTGTCCTACCAATTTGATTTAAAACTGTCTCATTGCTATTTGTTTCTCAATAAAATTATGGGAAAAAAAAACCCCAAAAAATAAAAAAACAAAATTTGAACTAGGCATGATGGTAAACTCCCATAATCCCAGTGCTTGGCAAGGGTGTGTGTGTGTGTGTGTGTGTGTGTGTGTGTGTGTGTATGAGGAGACTGAGCCATTAGGATCGCCATGAGTCTGAGGCCTGTTCAGCATACATAGTGAGTTCAAGGCCATCCTGAACTACATAATGAGACTCTGACTCAAAAATAATACTTTTTTGAAAGGGCTGGTAATGTAACTCAGTGGTTCCTGGGTTCAATTCCTACTTTTTCAAAAATCAAAAACAAAACCCACACTTGCAAAGATTGTGTTACTCATTTATCACAGAGAGCAGGGAATGGAAACCACAGGGGAGAAATCCTGCGGGTTCCAAATTCTCATTTTAACAAGAACCTATGGAGAAAATGCACATGAAGGGCTGTTCTGGGACCCGGGCATAATCCCGTTTGGTCACTTAGTGATAGGATGAAGCTGTGGCATTAGAAGGCAAGAGGAGTAGGACAGCCCAGAAATTTCCCCAGGGAGGAGAGAGGGCCAGGGTGCTTCCCAGGCAATGTCCCCACAAAACCAGGGAGAGTGTCCTCCCACTTACTCCTGTGGTGGAGTCACTCACCAGAGGTGCTGGAGGAAGCTCATGTGGCTGAGTCCCTGAGAGAGTGTGACCAGCGTGGAGCCGCCCAGCGGAAGCTGACTGAGGCTGGAGGAGAAGGGGCCAGGTGAGCTTGGTGTTGCCGCGTGTGCACATGTGTGGTGTCCCAGACACAAACCTTCAGAGGCCTTAGCATGCTTAGGGACCTTGAAGACAGGTCCTTATATCCATGACATGCAAACTCTGCGAAACACACTGCACTGGGAAACACAATGCCACTTCTCTACATGGGTCGCAGTGGTCATTAGGCAGAGGTTCCACTTCTGAGCCACATGAAACTCAAACAAATCATGGGGAACACTGGCAATGCCACACTGACCATGAAATGGGCCCAACACTGGAGTTGGGCCATCTGGAAAGGTGGCTCTCGCTATGTTGTCCATCATACAATGAGGAGCACTGAGACTCAGAGTGAGATGACAAATTCATGGCCACCAAGAACAGAACCCAGGACTGTAGGACTCCCAGCCTGGCACTATCCATGGAATCATTCCCCATAATGCCCCATGCCTGGGCAGGAGGGGGAGCCAACAAGGTAGGGTCTGCTTGAAGTGCTTACAGCCTCCTACCTCATTAATCCTCACAACAACCCCAGGAAAACAAAGCTGCTGTTATTATCCTCAAAGCGAAGGAGGGAGTGGAATGCACAGAGAGGCTCAGGAGCTGACGCAAACTCACATAGTGAGAGGTGGAAGCAAGGAGGGATGCACTTTCTGAGTTTGCCTAGAACTAAGAGTTTGCTGGGTTATGCAACTTTCAGCGCTAAAATTCAGAGAGCCCCGGTAAGCCAGGAGACTTGCTCCTACATGACCCTACATGCTTTGGCCCCAACCATTCTGTTCCAAATGGACAGCTGAAAAGGCCAGCTATTCTCTCTCTCTCTCTCTCTCTCTCTCTCTCTCTCTCTCTCTCTCTCTCTCTCTCTCTCT